ACTTGAGAATATATATATATATATATATATAAATATATAACACAAATATGTATGTATATATATATACATACATGTATTTAGATATAGATGCGTTATGTATTATATACATACGCATATATATGCACATATGTAGACTCATAGTTCAACACGTATATATTGTGTATATATATGTTTGCATAGACAAACGGCGACAGTAATGTGTAATAGTTAGTTGTATATATATATACACGCATGTGTATATATACATGTATATCAGAGCACCATACCCAGGCCAGCCACAACTGGGAGTGCTGCGGTGTTTACGCCCTGGGGGGGGCCATCGATTTCGACACCCCTCTCGAGAGATCGTCGATGCGATGGGTTCGTCCACGGGGCATATAAGGACCACAGCTCCCCCAGTTATGGCTGGTCGGATACCGAATCCGCCTGCATGCAAATGCTGGGCTCGAGCGCCCATGCCCAGGCCACGCGGCCACGCTGGCCGTGACAAAACATGGGGGGGAGGAGGGCGATGACGGGGACAGGGATGGGGAGGGGGGGGGGGGGCGGAGGAGGAGGAAAAGCAGCAGGCGGGCTGGTTGCATACGGGCTGCCCCCTCAATCCCACGCAGCCTGGGGTGCTCGAGGCTCTCTCCCAGAGGAGGAGGACGAGGAGGAGGACGAGGAGTAAAAGGAGGAGTAAAAGGAAGAGTAACAGGAGGAGGAGGGGAAGGAGGAGGAGGAGGAACGGGGGGAGGAGGAGGCATGGGAGGAGGGGGGTGAGGAGGAGGAGGAGGAGGAGGAGGAGGAGGAGGAGACGGAGGAGGAGGAGGATGAGGAGGAGAAAGAGGAGGAGGAAGAGGAGGAGGAGGAGGGTGACGATGATGATGATGATGATGATGATGATGATGATGATGATGAAGATTATGATGAAGATGCTGATGACGACGATGATGGTGGTGCTGCTGATGATGATGGTGATGCTGCTGATGATGACGATGGTGATGATGATGCTGATGATGCTGATGCTGATGATGATGTTGATTACCATCATCATCGTGATGAAGCTGATGCTGGCGCTGGTGCCGATGCTGGTGCTGATGCTGGGGCGCCCCATCAGCGCCAGCATCGGCACCAGAGCATTGCATAACATAGGACGGCACTGGCATACCACAGCTGTTAGCATTGGTCAGCGTCGCACGACAAACCACAACTGTTGATCACGATGCCCTTTTCACTGAGCTTCACTTACACAAGTCTCAAGGAAACCCACTCCAAACACGGCAAGCACTGCGAAACCACGCTGAGAAGCCAGAAACTGTACTAGGCTCTGATCACGCATGACAAGTACCTTTTCATTATTTGCAATATACAAAACGTTGTGCACCTACAACTGTGGCGATGTACACTGGGGCAATCCCAGAGCGAGCCGCCATATTCCTGACACACTGAACAAAGCACATGCACGAGCATCATCATGCACTGAGCGCTGCCAATGAACATACAAAATGCTAAGAACATCAGCCGATGAAGAACGTGTCGATTCTGAGTTGCCACCCAAAGCGCTCAAGGATTGATCGGACCTGCCCCCATGGAACTCTGAGCTGCACTGAAAACCAAGGACAGGCCATTAGCGTCGGTGCAGACCTGCGCAAAATGCCACATGCACGCCGTATTGAGGCCGACGTATGGATTGAGTCTGTCCTCCCAGTCCTCAGGCCAAGGAGCATTCATGCGCGCCGCTTCATCGACGATCTGCACCGCGCGGTACTGCATCGCGTACTCGTAGAACTCCTTGTATGTGGATGGGCGCTGGTTGTTCAACGAACGCCTTGGCACGATGCCCCGATCAAAGACCATTCCGATACCCAGTTCCCGATCGAGCGTCTGGTGGTACATGCATCCAACCGCGCACCCGAGGGACAATGACCCGTCCCACTCGCCAAGGAACAGCACCTTCATCCGATTCGCCGTGGCTGCAGCACACAGCGCAACTACGTTGATGCTGCCGTCGCCGTTTGGCGAGATGAAATCGTTCGGCCTGAGGGGGCCGTGGAGCTCCATGCGCACTCTGTTGGTCCCGCCGCCGCCCAGAGGCCTCAGGTCGTCTCCCGCATCATGGTTGCACTCCTTGGGAACGTAGCCAGGCACGTGCCCCATCTGGGCCTCGACGACGGGAGTGCCCCCGCCACGACGAGCTTCGTTCGACCGCATGATGGTCACAACAGACGCAGATGGACATTGTGCGATGACCGCCTCGAAGCACATGACCTCGTAGTGCATCCTGCGCTCTGATGCGTTCGGGTTCCACTGCAAGTACTTCTTCAAAAGCCACTGCAAGTAGTCCCTATGGCCCGTCGGAGGGCATAGGTTGGACATGAAGATGAGGCTCGGCACCTGGGTGAGCCAGTCCTCCCGATGTAATTCGAAGATGTCGAGCTTCTTGATTTCCACGCCCATCGATCGCAAGCGAGCTGCTCCGTGCACCTCGAGCACGCCCGTGTCAATGTCTGACGCCACCCACCCATGCAAATGGCAAGTAGCACCAACAGGTTGTGCCATAGCTGGCTGCGCGCCGCTCGCTGGGCTAGCGCTGCTTGACGCCATGCCCATGTCCATGTGGATCACTGGCCCCGTCAGCTGGGGCAAAGAAAACACACCGTAGACTTTGTGTGACTATCTGGCCAGGTAATGCCTGGCAGCACCTAAGCCCAAATGGCTGCGGAGGTGCTGGAATCTGCGAAAGGGCCAGACGGAGTGATGCGACAAGACACCCGAGAGGACTCAAGACCATACTGTGACCATGCCAGAGGGTATGCCGAGAAGGAGACTCCGATTACATTAAACATACGACAACGGCACACTTGACTTGGCATGGTCGACCCATCATTTATCAACTCCAAGTTCTGGGGAGCGGGGGGGGGGACAATGTGTGAGGAAGTATCAAGCAGAGGCCGTCGTTGAGTGATTCCCCGCGCCAGCGCCGCCGATGCATCGCCGACGTCGCCTACGCATCGCCGATGCATATGCAATGCATATTGGCGACGCGGCGCTGTCCTTCGACCCCATCTATTCGATCGGACTCCATCTAGGAGGCTTCCAAATGGAGCGGAGAACTGCCTTGCCGTATTCGTGGAGCGTGCGGTTGTTGGATGACGATCGATGCCCTTTTCTTGGCGCAAGCTTCTCGGCAGCTGTGTCCTTCTCCAAGAGTGCTGCCATCCTCGACCTCTTCCTCATGATCTGGCCATCGCTCATCAAAAAGTTAATTCTGTCCATGAATATAGCCTTCTGCTGCGCGGTCTTCCACGCGTTCCACAGGGTCTCGCAGTATCCCCTCGGATAATGCTCTGTGGAACTCAGCTCCTCCACGAAGAGAGGCGGGGGGGGGGGGGAGATGATGGGCTCTTGCACAATGGGGTAGGGGGCCGAGCAGTAGTGTGACCAGAACCCCGAGGATCGCAAAACAAATCGCAATGTGCGTTCTGCGCGCGCACGCGCGCAGATACTGGCGCGCACGTGCTGGATCCGAGTGCTGCCTACATCATCGCCTCGCGATGCTAGGGGGTCAGAGTGACCCCCTCCTCCCCATGGTGTCGTCACCAGACCCGACGCTTCCCCTATGTTGTGCTTGCCGCACTGCCCTTGAACGCCCCACTGCAATTTCTCATGGCTCCTCCGTCTCGTTCTCCTCGTCTCCCCCTTCCTCCGTCTCGCTCTCTTCGGCATCGTTTCTCCGCGCCCTCTGCTCCCCCCTCTCTCTGTCTCCCAGGAATGGTTCCAAGGTGGGAATGGGAACGATGGCGGAGGTAGGTCGGGGGGTGCGGGTGGGCACCCCTCTGCCCCCCCGTTCCTCTCTATTCATCCCTGCCCCGCAAGAGAAACGACGCCTGCCCTTGCCGCCGACGACCCACCCTCGAATCTCCGTGTGGAACCGATCCCTGCCCGACTTCTTGGAGCTGCATATCGGGCGTTTCTTCGCCAGCATGTTGTGAACAGTGGAAGGTAAAGTAGTGATGAGGTTGCACGCTTTCGGGATGAGCGGCCTGGGCTGGGACGCGCCCATGTATGTGAGAATCGTAGACGCACCCAGCAGCGCCATCACAGTCTGCATGGTCGGGTGTTCGTCCATCCTGCTCTGAAGCGGTTTCTCCATCAATATCCATGCGCGCCTCACGTGCGCCAGAGTCGCAAGATAAGCAGCAAACTGGAGCTGGACGTTCGCGGACGCGACCTTCGGGCAATCCTCAGCCGCCCACTTTTACCGTTAATGACATGTGCCATGCGTTGGCCCGTCGCCCTCCGCATCGCCATCATCATGACCAGCATGCGCAGCATCACCATCACCACCATGGCCACGAATGCCACTAGCATCATCAGTAGCAACACCAACGTCTTCAACACCATCATCAGCACCACCACCACCACCACCACCATCACCACCTTCATCATCCTCAGCATCATCATCACCACCAACACCTTCGCCATGACAATCATCACCAGTGGCATCACCATCGGTATCGGCATCATCATCATCACCATCACTATCATCATCATATTCATCACCACCATCACCAGCAGCAGCATCATCATGGCCGCCATCATCGTTGACATCGTCATCACCATCATCATCTCCACCACCACCACCATCACCACCACCTTCACCAGCACCGCCATCATCCATCCCTTGCTCGCCGATGGCGCGCCCGTCCCGTTTATCATGTCTGCCTTGCTAGTCATCCCTTCATCGGGCCCCGAATCGAACGCACCCCCAATTGCTACGCAGCGGCTTGCAATCATCAGTGCTGCGCGCCGTCCATGGTTCCCTGTGCGTTGTGCCCATCGTCATCCCTGTCCTTTTCCACCCCTGCTCCTTCTCTGATGTTTGTTCAACGGTTATCATTTTATCTTCCACCCCTGCCATGATTCCGTCCCGCCTCCTTCCCCTCATCCTACTTGGCGCGCGCCGTCGTCTGGGCGCACCCTCTGCTGCGTTGCTCGCATGCTCTGCCCCATCGCTCCTCATCGCCGAAAATATTGCGCACGTCCCGCTTGTGCCCCGTGGCGTTGATGAAGCGAAGCCAGCTGCGGCACTCCAACTGCGGGGGGTCGGCGGGGCGACTGGGATGCCAGATGGGCGCGGAAGAGTTGCGCGGCGAGGAGGGGGAAAAAGGTCGATGTGGAGGGGCGTGTTGGAGGAGGATGCGGGGGATGAGGACGAGGGGGAGGAGGAGGAGGAGGAGGAGGAGGAGGAGGAGGGGGAAGAGGAGGAGTGGGGTGAGGAAGGGCAGGGCAGGGGAGGAGAAGGAGGACGCACCAACCAACAGAAACAACTTCCTCCTCTCTGCTCACCCCGCTTGCTTGGACAACGTCAGCCCACTCCAATATCCCGCTGGCAAATCGCTCCCGACTGCGCCCCCAGCGGCTGGCCACCGCAATAGTAAGTAGACCGCCTTCCTTCAGGCGCAGCACTGTGAAACTAGCATGCAGTTGGCCCTCGAGGCTGGTAAGATCCTCCTCGATGTGGCGGGTATGCTTGTCGAATTCCATGGTGGTCTCGCCTGCCTCCCGAAATACTTTGGATTGCAGACCACACCCTGAGCAAACCTTAGTTGGAGCTCGTTTTTGTATCAATTCGATGGCACGTAGCTCGCATGTCGGATCGATCGCGTCGGATCACATTCCTACCAATGCTTCCTCAATCACAAACGTGCTTGCCAAACATGCAACCGTTCGCCAAAGGCGGCCAGCGGGCGTTCGACGCCGAGCCACCAACGTGAGAACATACTCAGAATGATGCGACCACTTTGCCGCTTGCACAGAGGTAAGGCCAGGCGGCTGGGAGAACGATGCTCGAAGAAATGCCCCCCCCCCCATGTGGCGCCACCCGCCCACGTCATCCCACTCTACCTGCAGTTTCCTCCATCATCCACCCCACTTCCTTGCTGTGCGATCGGGCACACTTAGGAGAACACTTCAAAAGCGTCCAAATCTCTAGATACAGAATTCATGTGGCTGTTGACGAAGTCCGTCACCGCCTCCAGCTGCTGCAGCGGCGTCATGTCCCCCCCGCTGCACTCTCTAATTAGAACCGCATAACCCTTGATCTCGTCAGGGACCCCGAGGTTGCCACCTCCCCACTGCCGCAAAAAAAGCATTCTGAACCAGCAGAACCGCACAGGTATCAACGCAGTCCCGCAAGACACAAGGATTGCAGAGAGGGGGGTGATGGATGTGTGAGCTTCGTTTCCACCGCCATCACCATAAGTAGGAGGGGGAATGGGGCCACTCTCTTCCTCTTCCCCCTCAGCCTACACCTCCTTCACCCGTCCAATGCATGGCGGTGGCTGTGGAAAACAAGCCCGCCACGGCAAACTTCTAGTAAGGACGCGTGGTAAGGGCGCAAGACCCTTGGAGGCAGAAGTTGAAGTATTCTGGGCGGCAGGCGGCCACCCCCAGGGAACCTGAGAAACTGGCTTGCGAAAATTGCTAGGGCGGGCCGCAGAGGCTGAGGCAGGCAAGGGCCCAAGGGCACCCTTGAAAACGTAGTTTGTCCTTACTACGCGCGCTGCCCTGGCCGCGGACAAGAATGAGAGCACCCAGCGAGTCAATGCGCACCCGAGCGCGCGTTGCAACAAATCTAGCAATCGGCCGACGAACCACGATGAACTGAGCGACGTCAACAACACCCGCGGCAGAGAGGATTGCTGAGGGAGGAGCACTGCCCTCTCCCACCTTGCGCATAGCTGCCGCGAGCGCGTGCGGCAGGGTCAAAAAGCTGACGAACGGCCTTTAACTGCTTTGGGACCTGCAGGGGGTGAGCTGCGACACTCGAGCGCTCGAATGGCCCCGAGGTGGGGCTTCAACTGCTTCGACTAAGAACATCCAGTGGGGCCGAACTCTGGGGGCGGGAGGCGGGGGGTGGCGCGCGGCACAGGGGGGGGGCGTTGCTGGGCCAGGGGGCGGGGGTGCATACAGGGCGGCGCAGTTGAAGGACAATGGGGAGAAGGAGAGAGAGGTGCAACGTCGGTTTCGATCCCAGTAGGTGGAGAACAGGGGTCATGCATGGGGCGGGGCTGGGAAGGGGCTTATCAAGGTCTGGCCCGCGCTGGCCTGTCGTGGGCTCTTGCGCGACGCAGCTGCCTCCATCGTTGGCCAGGCCACTCCAAAGTGGGAGCTCGAACTACTGCGTGCTGGTCGATGGGGGTCTCGATCCCAAAAACATGGACTACTATTGTTTCGTGTTGCTCTACAGCGTTACTGATGATTGGGGTGGCATTCTCGGGGGCGTGCT